GTGATTATGTACGTAAGATCGAAGTAATCAAAAATTCCTTTTATGACTGTTGAGCTTTGGTTTCCAGAAGAAAAAGAGTTTTATGGATTATATTCTCTTCTGAATATGCAACAAATTTTTCATTGGTAAGAACGAAAGATTTGTGAAGTCTCTTGCGATGAATATGGTATTAACTTTAATTATGGAAAAATTGTTGAAAATTATGAACTGCAGAAAGTGTTTAATTTTAAATTTTAAAGAAAATCACTTCACTTGAATTCGTTTGTAAGCATAAAATAGTCTTGAGTTTGTCTCAAAGCACTTCATATAGGTTTGAGAACTATTTTTCTAGTTTGAAAAAATGGAATCTTCTTCCGCACATACTCTGGTTTTAATACTCTTATTAATTTATAATTTTCATTTATTTGAAACCTGTTTCTCTTGCATAAGTATGTTGAATTATGTGCATTTATCAATTTACAATTCTCATTTATTTTAAACCTATTTTAGAATATAGGACATAACGTTAGATATGGTATCGTAATTTTAACATTAATACAGATTTTCCTTTGGTAAAAGATTGTTACTGCGAAGTCTTCGACTTGTACATGCAAAAAGTATTGTTCCAATGATATATATATATGGTACTGAAAATAATAAAAGTCATTAAGCCTGTTTATGTAGAAGAATATTACAGCAGGAACAGCTGTTGTTATTACAGCTAAAATGAAATTATTAGAATATTTGTATCGCTTTTTTTTCTTTTGAAAAATTAAAACAAAGCAATATGAGCTTCTAACTGAGATTCACATCCATTGAATATGGGTACCAAGACATATTTTGGAGACCCAAAGCCAATGGGCTTTTTTCCTTAAAGATGTAAAAGAGAAAAGTACTTAGTTCATTTTTTGTGTGAATATAAAATTCTGAGAAATACATTCAAATCTAGTTTTGGAAAAATACTCTCATCAAAGTCCCAAATACTTCCATCCAAGTCCTATTATACAATTGGTCAAATATCGGAAAGACAAAGAGAGTTACCAAGAAAGGATATGGTAAACATTAAATTTTAATTTATTCCTTAATTCGAGGACATGGGAAAAGCATCCTTTAATCTTATTTGAACTCATGCGTTTCTTGTCCTCAAATTTTAAGTGCCGGGATTATAAGGTAAACATTTACGTAAAACACTTTTTGAGAAATAGATTTTATATATCGAAGTTGAAAAATTTACATACGCCATTAATTCTGTGCTCTCTCACGCAGCTTTAGTAAGAATTTTGAAAAATATTTTTCTTCGTCCTCTCTTGTATTATTGCGCGGGTACAACGGGAAAATTTTTTCCTTATAATGTCTAAAGATACATTTGAGTGACGAAAAAAAAATGAACTCTGTCCATGGCAAAAATAAACCGAAGACAATAAAAAGAAGGAGAAGAATGAAATATAATTTGACTTTAATTTTAAAATCAGAAAACTTTTAACTTGGCATGGCCTCAAGGCAAAATGGATGAAAAAATTTAAAGACAAAAGTTTGTCGAGTAGCAAAAATGTTAAAAATTTCATACTTTAGCTGAAATAATGAACAGGTGAAGCGTTTAATTCAAAGTTTTTCTTCATAATATTTTTCTTAGTAGAAGTCTTTGTCTTTTTGGGAACACAAATTCAGCCACTTTAATTTTTGTTGCCAAGACACGAAAAAACTACTTGCAATGAAAAAGTTGGGATGTCTTCTTTGGAAATATAACCAAGTTGAAGCGTCAATTAACGAAACCAAAAATAAAGAAATATTTTGCGAAATATACGCAAGCAGGAACGCCGACAACCAAAGAAAATGAAATTATTAAATAAAAATTAAGTTAAGCAAAATGGCTGCACAAAAACTCAACAATGGAAAGCTCCGAGACGGTTTTTAATTTAAATAAAGACGAGTCCTCACCAAGAGCATCCAATCTATTAGGAAAAGGCATGGGAGTATCAAACGCAACATGGAGTTTTCTGATAGAATCGCAATGCTTTGTATTCTAGTATGAAGTAGTAAAGGTGATTTTGTGATATATGTTGATCCTTTTTTCGAGTCAGCGCAACTGGACACTTTTACTCTTTGATAGCTGGGGGTACTACAGAGTCACACCCATCTCATTGACTAATTTATGTACTCCCTATAAGATTCATGATTATTCAGTGATTGATCCGAGATCTGCGTACCTCCCCGTGCGGAGAGTGATTACTCTAAGATTAGATAGTGGTAAGTAAGATAGCCTGTCAATTTTCTCATATAACTTCAGGGCTCTGTTCGTTGTATATTTTTTGATCGGGTCTATTTTAAGGTCTCCTAGCATGTGATGTTTACAAAAAGATTATTAGTCGTATTATTTTCTTCACTCCGATTTTTCTTTACGTAAATGCGGCTGTATACCTCTCTATAACTTAAGAGACTAGCTAGTCTGGGTATCTCGTTAATTGATGGCAGTGTGACTATGAAATATTGTGGTTTGTGCCTTACCGATGAGGATGTATGTTCAAAGTTGCCATGTGGGCGCTGAAAGTGTCCCTTGGAGTCTATGGTGCAGGAGTCTATAGTGTGGCTCACAATGGCTTTCATCAGACACATAAACTTTATTCATTATTTTTATGTGAATTGCATGCAAACTGGCACTGCAACCAATTTGATCTATTATGCACTCTTTTCGTATTTAGCAGTTTAGTATGCTTTTAAAGGTCTTCATCTGCTAGTAGGTATGCACTTATGTACAGATGAAGGATAAATGAATATCGAATATAAAGTTTGAATGTATGAAATTTGAGTCTGCAATTTATAAGGAATGTGGAACCCATATCAGGTACAACCAATTATTAAGCCGGTTGTAAATAAAAATTTCTTTTGTTTGCTAAACAATAACAGATTCGGGAATTCAAAGATATTATATATAAGATCTGGCATATATATATACAAGATGTATATAAGTAATAATACTCATCTCTTGATTGGTGAAAATCCATATGTAATTGTCAACGGTTGAAATACCACTGATTACCTAAGAAGATACTAAAAGCGTGTGACGTTTGGTCAGACAAAACCGGGTGTGATAATCTCGTACTTATTAATAATGGTCGAATGTCCGGTAATACTGATCACTGCACCTACATGATCATCTATTGCTATTCGAGTAAAGTTAAAGATTCGGTTGTTGAGGATAAATGGTTTTAACTAGATGGTGTCACAAGCCACATAGCATGTCTTGGGTTGGCATTGTTGCACGAAGAATTTATCAGGGATGTAATATTACACCCCTGATTATAATATTAAATTTCCTCTTGTTTGCGATGTAAATTGACATCCAAACATATGGAGACAGTTTTTGCTTAAATGTAAAGATACGCAAAAGATCATATTTATCTAGATAAATTTTAAACTCTTGACGCTTTGGGAACAAACATCTGTCAAGTTACAACTGTGATATTGTAAACTGTATACCAAAAATTCATTGAAAACTATCTGGAAAACATCTAGTACTGTATGGTATATAGTGAAGGAAGATATATGAAGAATGATGTATTTAATGTTTAACGGCTAAGTTCAAATTATTATTATTAAATTGAAAGTTTCATTGAAATTGGAATACGGAATGCATTTTATCTCTGTTTTTTTTTAAGACCCACTAATAGACAATTTTATTTTTCATCATGATTTTAATTCTTCAGTAAATAATAATATATGTCAGACGAACTAAAAAATAAGAGATATAATAAAATATATATTTTTAGTGGAGCAAAGATATTCGATATATCAACCACCAAAATTTCGTAACGTATGGAGAAAATGAAACAGAGTTATTGGGTCTTGAATGAGAGTTTCGCAGGATGACGATATAAACATTCTGAATGGTTTCAATATGCATATAAGATCCCAAAGATCGATAGATGCATTCTTACTATTGAAGAAAGGTACTAAGTTCAACGAGATTAAATTTTCACATTTATATTATTTTGTACTCATCAGTGGAGTTTAAACACTATAAATGTATCAAGGTAAAGGATAATTTAATATAAGATTAGGTTGCGGTGAAAGTTGTTAAATGTTCAGAGGAGTAAAACCCAATTACCGTCAAAATCACACTCACCATTAAGACATTCATCCAAAGGCAAGGAGAGAGCAAATTAGAAGTTCAGGATAACATTAATACAGGAACTCAACAGCACTGCATATATAAACTTGGAGCTATTTTACCGAACCTAGATCAGGCTTTCCAAAACGCTTAATATCAAGAACTGACAACTAACAAAATATGATCCAAAATACTGTTGCGATTAGCAAGACTGCGTGACTCCTTTTTTAAAATTTACGATATCTGACTTCTTACCATATGAAAGTACCAATTGCAGAACTGCCATAAAATATATTTTTATTCTCGCCTTTTTTTATAGGAATATTAAGCATAAAATTATTTTCGGTCTACAATCGAGCAAGGATCGAGGAATCAAGCTGTTTATTACAAACACCCGCCAATTAAAATGTGAGTCAATGAAATTGAAAGACAATCCTTGAAAGGATTAAAACTTTACTGCAGTCAATGACCTAAATCGAGTGCATATGAAAGACCATCCAAATCAACTGGTAATTAACTTCTTTAACTATGAAATCTTTTTTCGGATCTTCCGATTTTCGAATAAGAATAAAAAAACAAGTGTATATTATCTTTAAACAACTTTTCAAATTTTTATTAATTTGTTTTATGTTAAACAATTGCATATAAATTTAGTTCTAAAAATTTGTATAATAATTTTGAAAATTAATTGAAATTGGATGTAGAAGAATTCAAAATAACCAATAAAATTTTCTTTAGTTTTGTATTGCAATTATATGGATTTTGCAATCTTTGGTATCTGTTTAATAGGTCGATGATTTTCACAGCTGGCTTTTGTATTTTTCTATAATCATAATTTATAACTAATACGAGAAAAAATATTACAACTCAAAGTACAAAATTATATGTTAGTGCATTCCAAATATACTCACTTCTGTAATATAAGTAACATCATAAAATGTAATTTTCGTTTTTGTTAAAGCTTCATAAACTGAATGGAAAATATTTTCTTAAAGATCAAACCTACACAATAAATTTTTATAATCCCTAACTATTGCCTTACTTGTATCTATGCATGTTGTTTACTCCCCACAAACAATTCAATCATCATCCATACTTTCATCATCATTTGTATTTTCATCATCTATGTTCTGTTCATCATCATCTTCATCTCCAATGTTAACATCTTCACCTTCATCTTCGTATTCATCGTCATTGTCATCGTCAGTGTTATCGTCGCCGTTACTTTCATTATCATTTGCATTTTCATCATCTAGGTTCTGTTCATCATCATCTTCATCTCCAATGTTAACATCTTCATCTTCGTATTCATTCTCATTGTCATCATCAGTGTTATCGTCGCCGTCGCCGTCACTTTCATTATCATTTGCATTTTCATCATCTAGGTTCTGTTCATCATCATCTTCATCTCCAATGTTAACATCTTCATCTTCGTATTCATTCTCATTGTCATCATCAGTGTTATCGTCGCCGTCGCCGTCACTTTCATTATCATTTGCATTTTCATCATCTAGGTTCTGTTCATCATCATCTTCATCTCCAATGTTAACATCTTCATCTTCGTATTCATTCTCATTGTCATCATCAGTGTTATCGTCGCCGTCGCCGTCACTTTCATTATCATTTGCATTTTCATCATCTAGGTTCTGTTCATCATCATCTTCATCTCCAATGTTAACATCTTCATCTTCGTGTTCATTCTCATTGTCATCATCAGTGTTATCGTCGTCGTTACTTTCATTATCATTTGCATTTGCATCATCGCCGTTCTGTTCATTTTCATTTTCAACATCTTCTTCAACTTCATCTTCAGCGTTATCGTTGTCATTATTTCTATTATTTCCGGGATAATTGAAATCGCCTGCAGCTGAGAAATCTGTTTCAATTTGCTGCGTAGCAGGCGTAATATTAAATGTCCTGCAAAATGCGGCGTCTACGTTCCCTGGGTTTGCAACAATATTTCTAGTAAGCGACAGAACTATCTGTTCCATACTCATATTGAGATTTCGTGTATGGAACTCCAATACCCTATTCCATCTAAAATTAGAGCCATTTACATTTCTCCTGTCAAATATCTGTAATATTTGATGTATTGTATCAGCTGCATTTTGTTCGATACTACCATCGTTTTGATATTGCTGGTTTGAAGCACTTGGAAGGTCAGGTACTTCTTCTACACTAAACACCTGATTTGATGAATCATCTGCAACTTGTTCTGAAATCTCGTTACTACCATCGTTCTGTTGTTGTTGGTTTGAAGCACTTGGAAGAACATGTGATTCTATTATGCGATCACTATTCTCATTATTTTGTGTAAAGTTTGACACAGAGCTGTTTGGGGAGCTTATATTGCTATCGTGAAAAACTGAGTGCTCACTATTACTAATATGCTCTGGATTGATTCTTACAGAGTTTTCGTGTGATGCATTTTGAATATCACTTGCGCTTTGATCAGTTAGCTCGTTATTCCTCGGTTCGGTTCGCGTACGTCTGCGCCGATCGTAAGGAGTATACCGTCGATTGGCTCTTCTAGATCTAATACCTCTGAAAGGAGCACCTGAATTTTGTTCTGAAATCTCATTACTACCATCGTTTTGATGTTGCTGATTTGAAGTACTTGGAAGGTTATGTGCTATTACTATGCGATCACTATTCTCATTATTTTGTGTAAAATTTGACACAGAGCTATTTGAGGAGCTTATGTTGCTATCGTGAAAAACTGAGTCCTGACTATTACTAATATGTGATACATTTTGAATATCACTTGCGCTTTGATCAGTATGCTCGTTATTCCTCGGTTCGGTTCGCGTACGTCTGCGCCGATCGTAAGGAGTATACCGTCGATTGACTCTTCTAGATCTAATACCTCTGAAAGGTGGTAGTTGTGAATCATTTGATTCATCAGAATCTGATTCAGACAGTTCATGATTGCGGTCATCCTCTTCCATTTTATCTTTCAAAAATTGCTTCACGGCTAAAAGGGTTTTCTGTGATTCTATTATATTTGCGCTATATTTGAATATATTTGAATAGCATAAAAAGATAAAAAGTTTGTTAAATGAAGTTTTAAAATTTATTTCACATGACTTAAATATTAACAAAATATTTCATTCAAAAACAAATGAGTACTTGTTTTCCTGATTTTTTTTTATAGAATCAATAATTACTTTAAATTAATACTACCTGACTGTAGATTTAATCATTAGATTAATTTATTAAAATATATTTTAATTTAAGTCAAGGCACTTATTATGTACTCAGAACAATCTGAATCTAAACAAAATTTTAGTCTTGAAGTGATTGTTTCGAGCCTCATAAAATTTAGGTCATGGATTTTTTCTTACTGATATTGGAATAATATCATCTGAATTAAAATATGCAGTTCTATAAGAATTGAAAGCATGAATTCGTATGGTTGTGTAGATATTTTACTTCATATCTAGATTTCTAATAAAGTTGATTCACATTGCTTATTTGTGTCTCTTATTTGTTTTTTTTACTAGTTGCAATATTAAAACGTTTCAGTCTATATTTTAAGAATCGTTAACAAAAACAAAAAAAATCCACTAAACACTTTTTTATAGAAAAAAAGAAAAAAAAGCAAAGAAACTTTTGCTATCCAAAGATCAGTGAAAAGATTTTCATGACATCCGAACTCTTCCCAGTAAATGATATCTTAAGCTATAACTATATTTGTGAGTGTTGCATGAATAGTACATGTAGCTATTTTACCTATAGCGGGCAGCAAACTTATGGGTCTCCAATTTTCAGGTAAAGAAATGTCTTCTCCGGGTTTTGGAAGGACTACTATAACAGCAGTTTTCCAGACACCTAATATTGCATTAATGCAATATTAATGATATTATTAATGATATCTTTTTTCAAACATATGTTATTGATTCCACCTAGTTCACGGGATTTTCGGTTTTTTTAATTACTAATTAAAATGCTGATTTCTTTCATATTTGTTAAAGGTAAAGTTCCAACTTCCGTTATTGAAAAAATATTAGTCATCATTTCATTAATTTCCTTCTCATTTGAGTCTTTCTCTCTCCTTTTGACTTAAAGAATGATGCAAAAACTTTTGCTTTTTCCTCTTTAGTGTAACACCAACCATTATCATCATGAATTCAAGATATTTTAGAATTTGCGTTCAATCCTATAAACTTGCTTAACGTCCAGAAGGCACTGATCTGGTGTAGATAAGGTTAGGCTATTAAAAACCATTTTATTAGATTTGTTGAGTGTCTCCGTTCGCATTTTTGTTTGTGATAATATCTTGAAAAAAATAAATGACTATTTTCTCAGAGCTAATTTGTAGAAAAGTTCTTCATAAGATCTTTGGTCCTCTACGAGTTGGCGACGACTACCGCATTAGAGTGAACCACGAGCTGTACGAGCTTTATCACGACATTGATATAATTCACCGTGTCTCCGGTGGAGTGATCAAGTTGAGGGAGCACTTACTGGACTAGATATACGAGACTGGAGAAGGCGCGCACACAGCAGAGGCGCCTAGGGAGACATGCTGCATCAGGCCGAAACTCGGTAACGGGTTGTTATGGCCAAATAAGTAAGTAAGTAAGTAAGTAATTTGTAGCTTACGTATATAGAAATCCTAAACGACACTTATCAGGAGTCGTCAGTTATTTCCCAGAAGTGTTAGATTGAAAAAGAGACCTACTGAAGTAACTGTTTCCACATAAGTTGTATAAGAATAGTTTCAACCTTGAAGCAATGGATGTAAAATTCTACCATCGAACATCAAAATATACAAAATAAAATAACTGAAGAAATTAATTGTTGAATAACTACAGATGTTAGCTAGCCTGCTCATCTGAGAAACTGAGGGCAGAGTGACCATGAAGCTGAACAAAAAATTCATTGTGTTTTTCTGCTATGGGTGCCTATTCAGAACTTTATCGCTCTTAGGTTACTGGTATGAAAAACGGTAACACAGAACATTAATGGATGATACTGAAATATTATTGGTGTTTTTAAAAATTGAATTCCTAAGTGCTGCCTATTTAACTAGTGAAAGCTGCGAATCGGAATCTGTTATTCATAGATCTGGTTAAGTCGATATAATATATAAGTACAAAGCGTTAGAAGCTATTATAGTGGAGAATTTACAAAAGTTTAACTTATTTCTGAATAAATAAAAGTAGATAGTCAAGTAGTGGAAATTATCGAAACTAACGAGTTCAATAATAGTACATAAATATATAAAAAATCAAGAGTACTTGAATTAAAACAATCAGGACAATCATATCCTGCTCTTCATTTCGATAGCATTACTTACCAAGTATAGAGATTCACTTTTGCGAAATCGTACGGGCCTTGAAAACAGTACAAGTATTTCTTATATTAATTATAATTATTTTAATTCTTGATTATTATGTGGTAACTGATCGCTTTGTTATATAAATATGTGTAAATAAAATCTTTTTGTATTTCTTTAACGTCAAAATTTAATAATTGACAAGCTACACATTGGTATCTCCTATTCAAAAATTATGTATTTCAAATAAAAGTACTTTTATTTTAGTTCACTTACAAAATAAAACAAATTCCATAGCGACAAGTATGACTGTTAACATACCTGACAATATCACAGGAATGTTTTCGTCTTATACGGTTTTCTATTTAATATATGAAAACTCTTTCTTAGGTTTTCTAAATTTAATATCACAGTATGGTTTCTGATTCCATACTAAATAAAAAAAGGACTCCTAAATTCTCTTAAGAAAATTGGTAAGAATAGCCTGACTGGTTCGTGACAAGTGACACTTTCACGAAAGTTACCAGTCCTATCATGATCTGCGGATCTCATATTAGCCAACTATTAATATAGAATAATTTTGAGTAACACCGAAAAAGCCTGATATCAGACTGGGTGGAACTATGTTAATTGTCATCAGTTCGGGACTTTGAAAATAGAATTTCTACTGTCTATTCACACTAAGAAACCTAGGAATCGATATCTGTGATAGAAAACTTTGATAAGTACAATATATTATCAAAAATTATCAAAACTAAGGTGGATATGACAGTTAGTGCACCTAATAATGTCATAGGACTGTTTTGTTTTGGATGTGTGTTCGTTTGTAACATATTAAGGTAATGTGAGGCTACACAGTATTTACGCCTTTTGATCATTTTACTCTTCTGCAGTTACAGTGTTTACTATATAAATATATATATTTTTTTGGAGTTTTGTTCTAAAGAGATTAACTGTTTTATTAATATTAATAAATTAATGAAGAAAAATTAATATTTTACTAACATTTTCCGCAAATGTTTTCATGTGAAATACATTTCAAAGAACTAAAGAAGATAGAAGGACCTATTGTTTAGGGAGACTATACATTAAGTTTTGAATAGAACATTCCTATTTTTAGTTCCGTTCTTCCGAATGAACGTAGAACTGTTCCATTTTCACAAAAGTTTTTAAAGAAAATAAAATCTTTTTCTTAATATTAGTACTGTTTCTTGGCAATACTCGAAACAGCGTTGTATGGTCAGAGAAATTTCAATAAATTAATTAAAATTTATGTTATTATCTTTTCATTTCTATTTGAACCTTTGTAAAATTTATTTTGTTTGGAAAAAAACACGTCGGTAAAACTATTTGTAATCATTATTTTGAAAGCAGTCAATGGTTAATAGTGTCAGTATTTAATGTTATGATATCCGGTTATTACATTGTATATTGTGCTCTTAACTTTTATTTGTTTCGGAAGTTATTTACCTTTTAATAATAATATTTTGTATTTTGTGTAATAACAAAATACAGGAACTGAAATTTAACACGAAAATGATAAAAAAATCTATTTTAAATATATCATTTTTTAGGATAATATAAATCTGGTCACCTTAATTTTACTCCACATTAGGCAGGGGTCTGAAACCGCTCACATTCCCTATACGAGTCAAGATTATATCTACATACAAGTGTATTCTTTATTGAGACATCACAACGTTTCATTAAGATATAACATATTTTTAAAGCTGATATTATCAGAAAGCACCCTGCAGTAAATTTCTCGCTCCACATGTCATATTTTTATAATCTATGAAAACAATTTTTAATTTTTTTTTTATTTTATTTAAATAATTATATTTAGTTCTATGTTTTCATATAATCTGAAGTAAGAACTAACTTATGACTATTATTAAAATCATTAAATATTCCAAATAAGAAATTATAAAAATAAGTATGTATAATCGCATAATGAAATATCAAAAAAAAAAAAAAAAACAAAAAAAAAAAATTAAACAATTAGGTCTACATCTAGATCTTAGTAAGTTAACATAGTACAATTAATAAAGTTTGAATTTCAGTTTTATAAATTCAAGTTATTATTCACAAATTACTTATAATTTGCACTGACTTCTAGACATACATACATATGTTTACACTTACAAACGAATATATATATATATATTCGCATATATATAATGTATATGCATATGTGTAATTCCTTATAATATACTAAAAACATTCATATATGTACTTCAATTTATGCTAAAGAAGGGAAATATTACAACACGCATGAGGTTCTTAAAAGTAAGCTAAAAGTTTAAGTTTTATACTATATTATTAAGTAATTTAATTTAAGTATATTTACATAATTTTGGCATTAATTTACTAATGTGAAGTTTTGTATTCATATTTCAATTAATTTTTTTTATACTTAGATTTTTTTGTTTTATTTTTTTATATAAATTTATTAGCTTAGATATGTTGTTTTCAACTTAATCCAGCAAAATTGCTTCAATGATTTTAAAATTAAAAACCGTTTTTTTTTAATTTTTCTTTTCTTTTAATTGGACGGTCTATGAATTAATAAATTCAATAAAAAAACAAACTCACATTAAAATCAACAAAAAGAATATTTTTATAACAAACTTTTCTCGTTATTTTATTTTTTTTTTTTATATATATAATTTTGGTTTTTTTTTTAATGAACTACATTAAACATCAGGATCATGTCCTATATAAGCTTTCTTAAAAGAGTCGGTTTTTAAAGTTCAATAAATGATATTTAAATTAAAGCATTTTTAGTAATTAACAACCTTTGCCACCCTTTTCCAATTATTTCACCCTTTATCAAAAGAAAAACTAATATTTTTTTATTTAAACATAGAACTTCAAGGGTTAATATAGACCAGAAAATTTTTATTAAATTTTAAAACATAACATTTTTTCACTTTTCACTACTACTCTATATAATTTATTGAATAAAATGATTGGACTTCAGTGTTCTCCTTAGTAATAAAAAAAAAAACAATTCTTCGATATATATTAAAATTTAAAATTGTATAAATAATAACTATTTAATATATTATTTAATACATAAATAAATAAATAATAATTATTTAATAAATAAGTAATAAATAACATTTTTATTTTTATTTACTCAAATTTAAAATATTATAAATAATAACTGTTTAAAATATTATTTAATAGATAATTAAAGATATAATAAATATTTAATTATATAATAAATAAATTATACATTTCATTTTCGTTAATATTTATTAAGATTCAAAGTTTTATAAATAATAACTATTTAATATTATTTAATACATAAATAAATAAATAATAATTATTTAATTATTTAATAAATAAGTAATTAAATTAACATTTTTATTTTTATTTACTCAAATTAAAATATTATAAATAATAACTATCTAATATATTATTTTATAGATAATTAAATAAATAATAATTAATAATAATTAAATTATCAATTTAATTTTCGTCAATCTTTATTAAAATTCAAAGTTTTATAGTTTAATGTAAATAATAACTATTTAATATATTTTTTAATGTTTAGATAACAAAATAATAATTATTTAATTATAACTAACTAACTAAGTAACAAATTTCATTTTGTTTAATTAAGTTTTAATTTAGTTAATAAATAATTAAGTAATAATTAAACAAATTAAAAATTTTGTTTGTGCTTTCTTAGTATTCGACAATAAGAAACAATTAATTAAAATTGATTTTAAAAATCATAACTTTTATTTTTTTTCTATTTATCATTCTAGCAAATAACTTTACTTTATTACCTTAAAAATTAAAATAATTTAATTTTTTTTAATATTAATTGTTAAGATTTTTATTTATATTCAACAATAAAAAAAAATTAATTTAAATAGTCATAAATTTAATTTTTTTGTTTTTCTAACAAAAAATTTGTTATGGAAATAAATAAAAACTATATTAATTACTTTTTCCATTTTTTAAAAATAATAATAAATTAATTTGCTTTTATATTGATAGATGAGATCTCTATCTTAAGAAATAAATAAGAAAAGAAATAAATTATAATTCAGTTATTGAAATAATCATGATTATCAGTATTTTCTTTCTTTTCATTTCTCTAACAAAACGTGCTAATTAATTAATTATAATGATAAAAAAATTTTTTCTTATCTTTACTATTGAAAAAAATAAAATTGGATTGTCTTTATACACATAATGACGATTCAAATTTTTTATTCAGTATACAACAATAATAAAAAAAATTAATTAAATATTGTTTTAAAAATAATAATTTTTTCTTCATTATTCAAACAAGAAATTGTTATTTTATTTAATTAAAATTATGCTTAATATTTTTTTTGCTGTGTATTACTTTTAAAATTTTAAAAATAAGTATTTTATTTATACAATTAATTAGATCTTTAATTTTTCTTCAGTGTTTAATAAATA